CTCCACTGGATCAATCCATTCCACCAGTTGAGGAGAAAGACTTAGCTCCCACTGACTCCTCAGACGAAGTCAAGCGTTTGTTAACTCTGTTGAACAAACGTTGTAGAGCCATTGCCTTACCAGGTGAGAAGATGGGTATAACGAACTTATTGTCCCATCATATTCCATTTGAACCTGGTACTAGACCTATCTATATACCTGCATACAGAATGCCTCATTCCCAAGTTGCTGTCGCAGAAGAACTGATCAATCAAATGCTCGATGATGGAGTTATTGCTCCTAGCAATTCACCCTGGAATGCGCCCTTGATCCTAGTGCCTAAGAAGGATGGTACTTGGCGCCCGGTGATTGACTTTAGGAAGTTAAATGCGAAAACTATTCCAGATTGTTTCCCACTTCCTGTACTAGGTGATCTTTTACGCAACATTGGAGATAACAAAGTCTTCTCGACCCTGGACTTGTTACAAGGGTTTTGGCAAGTCCCTCTTCACGAGGACAGCCAAGAGTTAACTGCATTCTCTACTCCCACAGGTCATTATCACTTCCTTCGAATGGCTTTTGGATTACGATCCTCTCCTATCACGTTCTCTAGACTCATGACCAATATCTTTTGAGGTCTTATAGGTAAAGCACTTATGGTGTACTTAGATAACGTAATTGTCATGTCCGAAGATGTGGATACACACTTGAAAAGACTTGATATAGTACTTGGTAAGCTTGAAGAAGCCAATCTAAAGATCAAACTGTCCAAATGCCAATTTTTCAGATCAGAAATTAAGTTTCTTGGTCACGTAGTCACTCCTAGAGGGGTTACGACTGATCAAAGTAAAGTAACGGCAGTACTAAATTTTCCATCCCCCAAAACTGCCGATGCTGTAAGATCTTTTGTGGGTCTAGCAGGTTTCTACAGATCTTACATTGCTAATTTTTCTTCAATAGCAGCTCCTCTGAGTTGCTTAAGAAAGATGCTCCTTTCGTTTGGACCTTCCGTCAAGAAAGAGCATTCCAGACACTAAAAGAAACGCTAACGTCCGCTCCCATTTTGAAATTCTCAGATTTTTCTAAGCCCTTCTATTTGACAACTGATGCTAGTTCAATTGGCATAGGTGCCGTACTAGCTCAGAAGACTGATGGCAAGTACAACGCAGTTGCATTTGCTAGCCGAGTCCTTACGAAGGCTGAACGTAATTATACAGTAACGGAGCAAGAAGCTTTAGCAATAGTATGGTCTTTAAAGCACTTCCGAGACATTATTTACAAGTACCCTGTTCATGTCTTGACAGACCATGCACCACTGATACCTTTATTCCAGAATAAACAACCTACTGGAAGTTAGCCAGATGGACCTTGACTATCCAAGAGTTCAATCCCACTTTTGAACATTTACCTGGCAAGTCAAATGTAGTCACAGATGCTTTATCGCGACACATTAGTGTAGTTACTGCAGATCCTCCATTTACTGCCGAGGATGTAAAGAATGCCCAAAGAACAGATCCCATGTGGTCTGGTGTGATTCGATTCCTGCTCCAGGAAGATCTTATTCTGACTGTGAAGCCACCAGCACCCATCAGTGACTTTGTAATGAGCCAAGAATTACTGTATCAAACAGCCGAGTTGGGTACTCCAAGCAGAAGAGTATATCAATTAGTAATTCCACAGTCACTAGCGAATGTAGCTCTAGAGCTAGTTCATGATGCGCCAGGTGTTGCACACCCTGGTATGGATCGTTCTGTGAAACAAGCCAGAATGAAATACTTTTGGCCACGTATGGCAACTGACATTTCAGAGTATGTTAAGAAATGTAGTGTTTGTATGCAACATAAAGGAAATGTCAATGGCCCTAATCCAACCCAGGTGTACCCAACCACTAGCAAACCGTGGGAAAGAGTTGCCCTTGATTTGTTAATCAATTTTAAATGTTCCCTCCAAGGCAACAAACATCTGTGTGTTATGGTAGACCATTTCACCAGATATTGTGAATTAGTTCCTATTGCAGATAAGACTGCAGAGACAGTAGCTAAAGCGTTTAAAGAACGCATTATCTGCAGGCATACCACCCCTAAGCCTTTAGTGACAGATAATGGAGGTGAATTCTGTAATGAGATTCTTGAAAATTTGTGTACTTTGTACAAGATCTCTAAATCCACCATTGTTCCTCATCATCCTGCCAGCAATGGGTTAGGTGAACGAACCAATAAGAAAGTACTTGATGTCTTGAGAGCCATTATCAACCCCAATAGTGAAACTTGGGATGAAGTTATACCAGATGTTCAATGTGCCATAAATTCTGCTTACAATGCTTCCATAGGTGATACTCCACATTATGCATTGTATGGTGTAGACAAGCGTTTACCCTATGAGTTGTTATATTCCACTCCGAAACCCAATTACAACCCTGATGATTTCGTAGCAACTTGTACCAGCATAGCTCACAGTGTTTTTAGAAGAATCCGTGAAACACTTCATAAATCAACAGCAGAATTTACTAGAGTAACTAATAGCCGTGCTAAGCCATCAAAAGTTAAAGTAGGTTCAAGAGTAATGCTGACAAATTTCAACTAAACATCCGCAATGCCTAAGCTCGATCAAAAGTTTGTTGGCCCTTATCGCGTTGTAGAACAGATCACTGACAATAAGTATAAGGTTAGAGAAATTAGTACTGGTAAGTACAAAGAATCGCATTTAGATCATATGAAATTAGTATGCGATGTTGATGATGTTGCTACCCAGACTAAAGTGACAGATGCTGACAATCCTCTTGACTCTGTACCCTCTACCTCCGATACTCAGTCAGATAATCAACCTGAATGTCGCTATGCTTTGCGTACTCGACAAGTAATGAGAAACCCACAAGTATCTTTTGTAGATACTCATTCAGATCTCCCTCAGTCAAGGCATGTGTTAGCCATTGCAGAGGAATTCGATCCTCCCACAGATGATAACCATTCTGCATACGTAAACCTCACCCTCGCAGAATTGGGTTTAAATGTACATAGTCTGTATAATCAGATGACCGAGATGAAGGAAATTGTCAACTGTTTGTATTAACTGATCAGTTTTTTCAGATTTTTTTTTTTTTTCGTGTTCACGTTCCCTCCATATTCTGAGAATTTGACAGTAATTATCTGAGTGCACCAGATTGCATTTGCTGTTAATTTCACTTGTATGTTTGTATGTATTTATATGTTTGTATGTATGTGATGTATGATGTTGTATTAATATATAATTTCTATATATATATATTATATATATATATATATTATATATATATATATATATATATATATATATATATATATATATATATATATTCTTCCTCAGAATCTGTAGAGTGCATGAATACAGATCGATCGATCAATTCCATCCATAATGTACAGCGATTTGTTCTTATAAGTCGTAATGCATTACAATGAAACTCATTATGATACCATGCATTAGTTCTAAGTTATATATGTCTTTGTTATTGTATAGAATCAGCCCAGAACCACCTGCCTGTTCAGCCTATAGCCGAGTAGTGTATGTCGAGACGACATACGTAACATGACCGAGCTGTCAGCATAGTTGCTGATCCTCCTTTACATGTGTTGTATGCATAGATTAGTTGAGTATCATAGTACCATTCATGTACTTTATATAGAAGCTCCCTAGGCCTGTGACTGTATGACGTCACAGGGTACAGCTTGAGGCAGTGAGACGAGCTGCCTCGCTCTCACTCGACGTTCAGACATCCAGGCAGTAACACGGCAGGTAGGGCCCATCCCTTCCTTACCACAGTCTGACAATATATATAGTGTTACCATCCAACAAGGTGTTTACCTTCAACCCTCGTTTCTCCTACCGAACCCCATACGACAAATGCAACAGAGTTCTTAACTTTTTCCACGTATTGTTTACTAACATGTTTCAATGTAAAAACTTGGTTTACATGTCACCTACCCTGAACAAAACCTAATCGTTAATTTACAATCCTACATTTTATCTTATCCTTAACCTTTTCAATAATAATTCTACTATAAATATTTTAAGCCTGTATTTGTTTTACATGATTGTAGGACTGCTGGTGTCTTATTTCTCTCTCATAAATCATGCAAGATTTCAGGTATATCTTGCTACTTCTACTTACATTTAGGTCACACTACACATGCATGTACACATTTATGTATACACACTCATATGAATTTTCTTTGATTTTATCTTAATAGTTCTTGTTCTTATTACTTTTCCTTTCACATTCACGGGGAAGTAAAATAAGAATCTTTCCTCCGTAAGCCATGCTTGATGTAAAAGTCGACTAAAATGCTGGAAGCAATGGGCTAGTAACCCCTTTTCCCATACAGCCTACTCAAAAGAAAAAGAAGAAAAACACCAAAGTGAGATGTTTGAATGTGCATAGGTGTAATGCGAATAATAAGAAAGAGATGAATGTGGATGCTATGAATGAAAAGAAGCTGTATGTCCTAGCTCTAAGTGAAACAAAGCTGAAGGGAGTAGGAAAGAGAGAAATAAATGGGATTAGGTCAGGGGTTTCTAATAGAGTTAGAGCTAAGGAAGGAGTAGCAATAATATTGAAGGGTAAGTTATGGCAGAAAAAGGAGAAGTATAAATGTATAAATTCAAGGATTTTGTGGAGTAAAATAAGGGTTGGATGTGAAAAGTGGGTTATAGTAAGTGTTTATGCACCTGGAGGAGAGAGAGAGAGAGATACATAGATAGATATAGATATAGGCAGATAGATATAGATAGACAGATAGATAGATAGATAGATATTGACTGTTGACTGATTTTGGGAAATGTTGATTGAGTGCATGAGGAGTTTTGAACCAAGTGTGAGAGTACTTGTGATTGGGGATCTCAATGCTAAAGTGGGTAAAAATGTTGTGGAGGGAGTAGTAGGTAAATTTGGGGTGCCAGGGGTAAATGAAAATGGGGAGCCTTTAATTGAACTATGTGTAGAAAGAGGTTTGGTGAACCATTGGTTCACCTGGAGGAAGTTGACTCACCTGCACTGAGGAGGCAGCACCACCACCTACACCGATTCTATACACCGGGCCACCCACCTTCACCACCTGCGCACCTGAAAATAATCATCATCAATCTTCAGCCAGACAGAACCAAACTTTACTATAAGAACCTGAGATTCAGCTAAATTATCTCCACAGAGCCATTATATAGTGTCAAGACTTTAGTAGTAAACCCTGAATTGCTTCTGGAAATGTACCAGTTCAGGAAGACTGAGAAGCAAACTGAGTTGACATTTAAGAATGAAATGAGGGCAGTGGTTGATCTACTACAGAACTAATGAAGCTTAAACTTCAGGGCCCCTAATCCCGGAGGGGCCCCAGAAGCGACTTTAGTCCACATTGCTTAAAAATTTGGGTCAACTGTAGGAGAAGGGCATATAAAGGGGTTTGGTACAAATAATACCTATTTTAAGAAAAAAAAGGATAAATAAGTATACAAGATACAATATAGGGCATAATGACGGTAGTTTGCTGGACTATGTATTGGTAGATAAGAGACTTGGGTAGACTTGAGGATGTACATGTTTATAGAGGGGCCACAGATATATTAGATCACATTTTAGTTGTAGCTACAGTGGGATACATGGAAAATGGAAGCAGCAAGTAAGAGAGAGGTGAAGGTTTATAAACTAAAGGAGGCAGTTAGGGTAAGATACAAATAATTATTGGAGGATAGATAGGCTTGTGAGAGTATAGGAAATGGGGGTTAAAGAGGTATGGGTTAAGTTTAAGAATGTAGTGTTAGTGATCAGCAGAAGTTTGTGGTTACAGGAAAGTGGGCACGAGAGAGAAGAAGAGCGATTGGTGGAATGATGATGTAAAGAGAGTAGTAAGAGATAAAAAGTTAGCATATGAAAGGTTTTTACAAAGTAGAAGTGATGCAAGGAGGGAGGAGTATGTGGAGAGAAAAAGAAAGGTCAAGAAGTATGTGAAGTACATGGAGAGAAAAAGAGAGCAAATGAGAGAGTGGGTGAAATGTTATCAACAAATTTTGTTGAAAATAAGAAAAAGTTTTGAAGTGAGATAAGTTGAGAATGCCTAGGAAACAAAGGATGACACGGTGCAGTGGCTTACACCCCCATATGTCAGATATGAGGATGAGGAACAGGATGGGAAATTCTTGAATTAACTAAATTTTGAGTCTGGGTCATAAAAAATTCATTTAAATTGTTGACCCTTAGCCTGATCAATGGCTCACTAAAGAGTGAGTCATACTGGGACTTCAGTATCTCACTCCTTTCTTTGCCATCATCTGTGTAAGTCCCATCTTGTCTAAGCAGGAGTTCAATACTGGATGTAGTTTTTGTCCTAGATTTCGAATAGAAAGAAATATTTTATTTTTGTTTCAATTTCATTGATGACTAAGTTCTTCCCATGTTTCTTGTCTCCTGTATGATTCCTTAAGCTTCGGTTTCATATTTTCTATTTCTCTGACCAGTGCCTCATTCTGTATTTTGATATACTGGCCCCTTTCAGCAGCTCTGATTCTTTGCCTTCACCTGTATAGGGAGTGGCTTTCTCTTCCAGTTTACATCTTCTCTTCTTTTTTTCTTAAGGAAATGTGACTTGAGGATACCTCAAGTGCCACAGAGTTAATATTTTATAGGCAAAGGTTTGGATCAGTGTTGTTGTGTAGGATATCTTCCCAGCTTGTTTCATTTAGGAAATGGTTGATTTGATCTCATTGTATGTTTTTGTTAATGAAGTTGAATTTGATGAAGGCACATACATGTCTGTACTTCTATTATGTATTGTCTTTGATACTGGTATATTACTTACCAGGTCATCATCATTAGTGAAGATGAGGTCAACTGTATTTTCCATTCATGCTGACTTGACTATTTGCTGGTTTAAGGCAGAGGTGTCGTAAGGGGGGGGCTGCCCCGGGTGACACCATTTAGGGGGTGACACCATAGAGCCTCTAAAGAAGGTGACAATAATGCCCAAAATAGTGCTGCACCAACATAAGAGAAGAATCTTTCATTTCTGTATAGCCTATTATATGATTAGAGTACAAATAAGCCTAAATAGGGAAAAATCATTGATTTTGATTATGTGATAGATGATTTTGCAGGACTGAAGGCAAGGAAATGTAAGATCAGATTCACTGAGATGTTACCTGTACTCATGGTCAAATTGCAACTAGTGTTTCTCTGATATTGCAATGTTTTTCTTCATTTTTCAGTTTTTTTTTTTTTTCATTATTGAAGATGAATAAATGTAGGATCTGTTGGCTGTACTCAAACTGGTATTTGAGTTCACGTTTCCTCAATATTACTACGATTATTTATTTTATCATTAATAAAGTTGAGAAGTATTCTCCTGTTTAGTTTATGGCTCTTAAACATTCTCTTTGTTAAACATTTGTCGCTGGTCATGCATTAGTGACGTAACTGGTCATGCAGTAGTGACGTAACTGGAGTTTACCCCCATCCCCCCCACCCTTGAATTTCATGGGGGTGACACCAAAGATGCTGCCCGGGTGACACCAGAGATTCCACCCCGGGTGACACCAACTCTAGCGACGCCTCTGGTTTAAGGTGAATTTATTGCAGAGATTTAATATAGTACTTTTTTTTCTTTAACAAGTCGGCCGTCTCCCACCGAAGCAGGGTGACCCAAAAAGAAAGAAAATCCCCCCAAAAATACTTTCATCATCATTCAACACTTTCACCTCACTCACACATAATCACTGTTTTTGCAGAGGTGCTCAGAATACAACAGTTTAGAAGTATATACGTATAAAGATACACAACATATCCCTCCAAACTGCCAATATCCCAAACCCCTCCTTTAAAGTGCAGGCATTGTACTTCCCATTTCCAGGACTCAAGTCCAGCTATATAAAATAACCAGTTTCCCTGAATCCCTTCACTAAATATTACCCTGCTCACACTCCAACAGCTCGTCAGGTCCCAAATACCATTCGTCTCCACTCACTCTTATCTAACACGCTCACACACGCTTGCTGGAAGTCCAAGCCCCTCTCCCACAAAACCTCCTTTACCCCCTCCCTCCAACCTTCTCAAGGACAACCCCTACCCCACCTTCCTTCCCCTACAGATTTATGCACTCTCCATGTGTACATGTGTGTGTGAATTTCCATCTCAGCTGCTGCTGCCTTATACATTCCTCCATCTTAGATGGCTTAAGATGAAATCATCCAGCAGCAAGATGTTTGGGGCAGAAGCCGAGAGACTTTCCAGACAGTGGTCAATTTTCAAAACTTGTTTCTGGAAATGTTGAGAATTTGCATCAGAAGGCTTGTATACAACCACAAAGACAAGGTTTTGGTTTTCGATCTTTACTGCCAAAACTTAAACTACATCATTTGTGGTGTTTAGTAGTTCTGAGCAAATGAGCGACTCTGTGACATACAGGCCACCCACCCCTTGCTGCCTGTGTGAAGGAAGTGCAGGAGGCAGTGTGAAGGAAGTGCAGGAGGCAGTGTGAAGGAAGTGCAGGAGGCAGTGTGATCCCAGTGATTGTACTGTCACTCTTATGAACCTGTGGTGGTAACTTACCACTGTGTGGTGGTAACTTACCAGTGTGTGGTGGTAACTTACCAGTGTGTGGTGGTAACTTACCAGTGTGAGGTAATAACTTACCAGTGTGGCGGTGGTAACTTACCAGTGTATCGTTGTAACTTACCACTGTGTAGTAGTAACTAACCATTGTGTGGTGGTAACTTACCACTGTGTGGTGGTAGTTTCTTCACCATGGTGTCATCTAAGGTGCCAACACCACCACTAAACATGATAGGTTTGATCCACTCTCTCCTCTCTCTTGCTGACTCATTACCTGAAACAATGAGCATTATAACTACAATAGCCAGTCATTAACAATGACCAATATAACTAGTCATTAACACCAGTAACAATGATCATTGTAACTATAGTCATTAACACCAGTAACAACACCTGGAGGGTGTTTCAGGGGTCGACATCCCTGCAGTCCAGTCTGTGACCAGGCCTCATGGTGAATCAGGACCTGATCAACCAGGGTGTTAATGCTCTCTGCTTGTTAATCGACATACGAACCACAGCCTGGCTGATCAGGTATTGACTTTAGGTGTCTATCCAGCGCCTTCTTGAAGACATCCAGGAGTTTATTGGTAATCCCCCTTATGTATACTGGGAGGCAGTTGAACAATCTTGGGCCCCTGACACTTATTGTGTTGTCTCTTAATTTACTCGTGGCACCCCTGCTTTTCATTGGGGGATGTTGCACCGCCTGCTGAGTCTTATGTTTCTGTAAGGAGTGATTTTTCACATGCAAATTTGGGACTAGTCCCTCTAGGATTTTCCAAGTGTATATTATCATGTATCTTTCTTGACTGCATTCCAGGGAATACAAATCAAGGGACTTAACTGTTTGCAGTAATTTAAGTGCTTTACTGTGCTTATACATGCCATGAAAATTCTCTAATTCTCCAGGTCTGCAATTTCACCTGCATTGAAAGGGACTGTTAGAGTACAGCAATACTCCAGCCTAGAGAGAATAAGTGATTTGAAGAGCATTATGGGCTTGGCATCCCTAGTTTTGAAGGTTCTCATTATCCATCCTATTATTTTCCTAGCAAATGTGGTAGATAGATTGTGATCTTTGAAAGTGAGATACTCTGACATTATCACTTCCAGGTCCTTCACATTAGGTTTTTGCTCTATTGTGTGGTTGGAATTTGTTTTATATTCTGATATAGTTTTGATTTCCTTGTGTCTTCCATAGTGGAGTAATTAAAATTTCTCTTCACTGAACTTCATGTTATTTTCTGCAGCCCATATAAGGATTTGGTTGATGTCCTCTTGGAGACTTGCAGTATTTTCGACAGATGACATTGTCATACAAATTCACGTGTCATCTGCAAAGGATGACATGGTGCTGTGGCTTATATCTCTGACTATGTCAGATATGAGGATGAGAAACAGGATGGGAGCAAGTAATATGCCTTGTAGAACAGAACTTTTCACTGCAGCCACCTCAGACTTTACTCTGTTTTCTATTTGTTAGGAGGATATAGATCCATCTATCCACTTTTCTGTTATTCCTTTATCATGCATTTTGTGTGCTATTACACCGTGATCGCATTTGTCAAAGACTTTCGCAAAGTCTGTGTAAACTACATCTGCATTGGGTGGTCGCTACCATCCAAGACTATGTCATAGTAGTTCAGTAATTGTGAGGCAGGAGCGACCTGCTCTAAACCCATGCTGCCCTATGTTGAGCAACTCATGGGTATCTAAATAGGTGGCGATCTTGCTTCTTAGAATTCTTTCGAAGATATTTATGATGTGGAACATTAGTGCTATTGGTCTGCACTTCACTGCAATTGCTTTACCGCTACCTTTGTGGAGCGGAGCTATGTCCATTGTTTTTAGTGACTGTAGGACGACCCCTATGTCCCTGCTCCCTCTCCACAAAATAATTAAATCATGTGAAAGGGGCTTCTTGCAGTTCTTGATGAATACAGAGTTCCACAAGTCTGGGCCTGAGGCAGAATACATAGGCATGTCATTTATTGCTTTTTCAAAGTCTTGTGGTGTTAGGATAATATTGGAAATTTTTGAATTAATGAAATTTTGAGACTGTCATAAAAAATTCATTTACCCTATTTTGCGGCTTATAAGATGCATTTTTTCCATAAAGTATCTCCGAAAACCACCGTGTCCTATAAACTGAAGGTCAGTGACAGGAGCTATAAGACTGGAGTGTGGGGTAGGCTGTAGCTCTCCCAGGTATGTCCAATGCCGAGCCATTGCAACTAAAACTAGTCTTACAAGCTAAATTTCATAAGCTGCGAAATACGGTAGATTGTCGACTTTTAGTCTGGTTAACGGCTCACTAAATGATGAGTCATATTGGGACTTGAATACAGTGGACCCCCACTTTACGATATTAATCCATTCCTGAGAGCTCATCGTATGCTGAAATTATCGTAAGGTGAATTAATTTTCCCCATAAGAAATAATGGAAATCAAATTAACCGTGCAAGACACCACAAAGTATGAAAAAAATAATTTTTACCACATGAAATATTAATTTTAATACACACAAACTGACACTTACCTTTATTGAAGATCTGGTGATGATTGATGGGATGGGAGGAGGGGAGAGTATTGAAGTTATTAATGTTTAGAAGGGGAATCCCATTCCATTAGGACTTTAGGTAGCACGTCCTTTTCCGGGGTTACTTCCCTTCTTCTTTTAATGCCACTAGGACCAGCTGACCATGGTGCAGCAACAGCTGACCGTGGTGCAGCAACAGCTGACTTTGGTGCAGCAGCAGCTGACTGTGGTGCAGCAGCAGCTGACTGTGGTGCAACAGCAGCTCACTGTGGCTCAGCAACAGCTGACTGGTGCAGCAACAGCTGACCATGGTGCAGCAACAGTTGACGGTGGTGTAGCAGTAGCTGACTGTGGTGCAACAGCAGCTGACTGTGGTTCAGCAACAGCAGACTGGTGCAGCAACTGACAGTGGTGCAGCAACAGCTGACCGTGGTGCAGCAACAGCCGACTGTGGTGCAGCAACATCTGACGGTGGTGCAGCAGCAGTTGACCGTGGTACAATAGTACATATTTCTCACCCTTTTTACCACAGGGTTGGCACTAGAAGCTTTCTTTGGGCCCATGGTGGCTTATTTAGCAGTTACAAGCACTATAAACAATGGAATAATACAAAATGTATCGAATGTATGCATGCAACCGGCCACCCTGGCTTGTAAACAATGACGGCAGGGCTGGATGGACAGGTTCGGGATGAGTCATGTTGGTCAGAAACAGCTGATGGTGGTGCAGCAGCAGCTGACTGTCGTGCAGCAGCGGCTGACCATGGTGCAGCAGCAGCTGACCGTGGTGCAGCAGCAGCTCACTGTGGTGCAGCAGCACCTCACTGTGGTTCAGCAACAGCTGACTGGTGCAGCAACAGCTGACCGTGGTGCAGCAACAGCTGACGGTGGTGTAGCAGCAACTGACCGTGGTGCAGCAGCAGCTGACCGTGGTGCAACAGCAGCTGACAGTGGTTCAGCAACAGCTGACTGGTGCAGCAACAGCTGACCGTGGTGCAGCAACAGCTGACCGTGGTGCAGCAGCAGCTGACGGTGGTGCAGCAGCAGCTGACTGTGGTGCAGCAGCAGCTCACTGTGGTGCAGCAGCAGCTGATCGTGGTGCAGTAGCAGCTGACCGTGGTGCAGCAGCAGCTGACCGTGGTGCAGCAGCAGCTTACTGTGGTGCAGCAGCAGCTAACTGTGGTGCAGCAGCAGCTGACTGTGGTGCAGCAACAGCTGATGGTAGTGCAGCAACAGCTGACCGTGGTGCAGCAGCAGCTGACCATGGTACGATAGTACGTATTTCCCACCCTTTTTACATATGATCGCTTGAGAGATGGTATCTCCTGCTATCTGTTTTTCATTTATCCACACCAATAACAGTCTCTCAACATCTTCAAGTACTTGCGATCTCTGTTTCGAAAACAAACTTGCACCTTTTGCAAGAATACAACCTGGCCAGCTCCGAGACACTCACTCCACTTTCGTACTTAACAAATTATCTCTTTCATTTCCATAGTAATTTTCACCTTTTTTACTGCATGGTTGGCACTAGAAGCTTTCTTGGGGCCCATGGTGACTTATTTTGCAAGTACAATCACTAAAAACGCTGTGATAATGTGAAATGTTCCGATTGTATGTGTGGATGTGACTGCACTGGCTGGCTTGTAAACACTGGCACCCACGGGGCAGCTGAGGCGCACTCAGACAAATTGCGTGAGGCGAGGCAAAATTTTTGCGTTAAAATGTATCGTATGGTGGATTTAACGTAAGGTGATGCCATCGTATGGTGGGGGTCCACTGTATTACTGTTGTTCTGGCTAGTAAGATCAATATTACTATTGGTCTAGCTAGTAAGGTCAATATTACTGTTGTTCTAGCTAGTAAGATCAATATTACTATTGTTCTAGCTAGTAAGATCAATATTACTGATGTTCTAGCTAGTAAGATCAATCTAACTATTGTTCTAGCTAGTAAGGTCAATATTACTGCTGTTCTAGTTAGTAAGATCAATATTACTGTTGTTTTAGCTAATAAGATCAATATTACTGTTGTTCTGGCTAGTAAGATTCACCTACAAGCATCACTCATCAAGGTCAAGACTCACCTACGAGCATCACTCATTAAGGTCAATACTCACCTACAACCATACCAAAGGAGCGAGCAAAGCCAGCAATAACTGGTTCACCGAACTTGTTGCCATAGTCAGAGGCGCCGTTGGAAGCCTCGATGATAACCTCCAGTGGTGTGGCCAGGTTGCTGGGGTACCCTGCTTCTCTACCCTCCCATGCCAGCTCGTACCCTGCCAGGAAGAACAATCTTAGTTTCCATCCAATACAAACCTTGTGTATGCCAGTGATGCTAGGTAATTAGCACTATGTACACCAGTGATTCTGGGTAAACTACAAACATTGTGTACACCAGTGATGCTGGGTACACTACTAACATTGTGTACACCAGTGATGCTGGGTACACTACTAACATTGTGTACACCAGTGATGCTGGGTACACTACTAACATTGTGTACACCAGTGATGCTGGGTACACTACTAACATTGTGTACACCAGTGATGCTGGGTACACTACTGTGTACACTACTGACATGTACACTGTTTTGCTAACCACACTACTGACATACTATCATATGTACATCTATCTACCCAGAGATTGTACAGGGGGTCAATGCCCCCAAGGCCCTTTCCTAGACCAGACCACTCAGTGGGTCAGGGCCTGATCCACCTGGGTGTTACTGCTGGCAGCACATAGTCCAATGTATGAACCACAGGCTGGCTGGTCAGAAACTGATTTTAGGAACCTATCCAGTTCCATTTTGAAGACACGAAGTGTTCTGTTGGTAATCCCCCCTACATATAATGGAAAGTTGTTGAATAATCTTTTGGTTCCTGACAGTTTATTGTTTCCTCTCAGTGTACCCATGGCATCCCTGCTTTTCACTGGAGTTATACTGTGATCCACAGAGTGACTGGAATTTGTTCTCACTGAACATCATATTGTTTTCTTTGGCTCACTGGAAAATTTGTTTTATATCAGAAGCCAGTTTCAGGCAACAATCGAAGACCATTCCCCAAAAAGTCACCTGCTGCATAATGGAAAGAATCACACTGGAGTAGCACATGGGAAACAGACTGTTAAACTCTTGACTGGGAAAAATGAACAGCCAGTCTTTCAAGTAGAAACCTGTAGCCATTAAAGGCAACCAACTTGGTGATGCTATCCACTCCTCCTGAAGTCAGTGACAGGCCACTTCTGTAGCAGACACTGCAATACACAACAAGGTCATCTGCCTACACAGAAGCCTTGACACCACCAATGATAACACTGACCACACCATCCATGGTCACAATGAAACATTTGATGCTCTAGATATTACCATGTGGGACCCCTACAGGGCAGTAGCATGAACCAACCCTCACTCTGAATGATCTCTTTGAGAAACCAGAAATGCAGTTCTACAGACTAGACTCAGGAGAAAGCTTATGACAAACTTTCTCCAGATCAAACAAGACCACCAAGGAATGATGGCAGCTGGTGAAATCCTAATAGATGTCACCAGCCAGCTGCCGACTAAACTAAGCAGTCTGTAGTCGATTGGAGCTTGTGGAAGCTAAACTTCACCAAAGACTGAGTCTTTTGTCTCCAAATACCACATGAGACAAACATTCAACATCTTCTCCATTAACTTGTTGATGCAGCTCATCAGAAATATCTTGGAGAAGTGTGACACATCTCTTGGGTCCCATCTTGGCTTTGGAATAACCAGAACCACAGACTGCCACCAACTGTGAGAAGGTACCTAACTAGTCAATATAAAATTACATAAATCCAGTAAAAGCATTAAGAAGGAGGAAGATCCCTCAACATGTCATAGCTGACCACATCCTTCCCAGGAGTCATGGAGGGCAATGCTAACAAGACAATTTTTCCACCCCAAACAAATCACAAGACTCCCCTGTATCTTCTACAACTGGCAAGAAGACAGTCTTCTCATGTCTCCAGGTCTGGAATTCAGGACATATCTCCTGACACTATAAACAAAGAAGCCCTTAGCACAGGTGCTGGCCACCTCCGAAAGGTCGTTCACCACCTGTCCATGATGGGGAAGACTGGGCAGTAGACTCTGAAATTACTTCCAACATCTTTTCTGATCTTACACCATATCCGTTCCTCCACGCAATGGACTCAGGACATATGCTGAGCATTTCTGAATACTTTCCTTTTGATGGCCAACAACTGCCAGTATATTAGCTTATTAACCAATGAACAATGGTCCATAAACAAGCCATACACAATCTAGCAGTGCTTCACAGCACTTGTTTTGTCAAGAAACTACTCCAAGAAATACACTAACAAAATGGTCATGAGATCTCTGGACATGAGAAATCTGTGCCAGAACCTCAGACACACACCAATCCAAAGCCTCCAGCTACCAGTGTTTAGGAGGGAAGAATGGAGTGGAAGTTCCTATGGATTCCAGTAGAGGAAAATAATCACTATCATATAAATCTGGGAGAAGAGACCATTGGAAATTTAAATACAGAGAATGAACTGGAACTAAGAGGTCTATGCCTGAAAAGACATTTGTATGAACAAAATGACTGGTCAGAGACCCATCATTCAGGATGCAAACATCTAAAAAAGTCAACAAGGAAACCTTTCCTGTTAGGCACAGGCATCTCTTGTCCTTCACAGGATGGCGGGCATTGAAGTCACCCAAGACGAATGGGTTCGGTAGCTTGCAGATTAGAGTAGCTATAGCAGCGTTCTAAAACCCAATCTTGAGTAAAATACATGAAGCATGACTCACGAAATCACGACTTACTCGCCACAGGTTCAATCCCCGCCTATGGTACAGTTTACATGGAGCACACTCAGGTCCTCCTGCAGCCTCACTGGCATCACCACAGCCTACCGGATAGAGAGCAGGCAAGTTTCACTGCGATGGACAGCAGCATGGACCAGGATACTCACACCACCTCCCTTTGCAACAGCACTAGGTGGGTGGTGCAGAGACATAAAAAACAAACCTGGAACCCAGTGACAACTCTCTTGTTCCAAGTTTTGTCTCCTGAGAACTTTGAACTAACAGGCTATAATTCCAGATGAGGGCATGACTGTTTTCAACACAAGGCCATGATAGTCCCATTGCATGATAGGATACATTAGGCCAAAGGAAGGCTAGTAAACCACCCTCCTTCAATGTCTACAGTAAGAATACTACAAACAGTGACTGCTTTAATTTTAGCCCTTGGCTGAAGATGCAGCCTGCAAAGTGACTTGTCTAAAACCCAAAAATGGTTCAAAAGGGGCAGGCCCTCCAGAGAGCAGTCTTCTTTCTCAGAGGCAGGGATTACTTACAGGCCTAGGAACCAGAGCCACTGAAGCACCCATCTTAAAGCTTCTGGGAGGGAGTGTCTGACTTTTTCTTCAGAGAGAGCATCCAGTGCACCATCCTGGGTTTGAGACAGAAGACCAGCTCTCCCTAGACTCATGTGAATACCTTATCACACTTTTCACACCCTTATGAACCATGAGAACAACCCAGATCCCTTGGAGGTTGGAGCATCCAATGCATTGCCTGGCTATAGAGAACTGGCACCCCAGGGTGTGTTTAGACACCCCTCGAGTTGTGCTTCAGGTCCTTAACAGCACCAGAGTGGTGGACCACTGGCAGAGTTATCAACTGTCACTGAGGGTAACTGAAGTTGGCTTTCCAACCTGGTGTCCCAGACAAGTCAGACTCAGCAGGAGGAGACAGCAGAGGCCTCTAAAGGGGAAGGGGGTGAGCAATCATAGGAGGAAGCAGGATGCTCCTCCCTCTAGCCTATTGCATTGACAAGACCACACTGGCAGATGCATCCCCATGGGCCTCTGCCTGAGAGCCCCCACCAACCTCCATGCAACCCTGAGATGACAACAGAGGCAGGATGAGCCAGTGATTACCTGGACAGGAAGCAAGACCACCAGCAAGGTGCCCAAAGGCTGAGCAGAATGAGTCCCCAAGGAAGAGCAAGGACTTCTCCCACCAGGGTGGACCCCACAACAGCTGGAGGTAATAATCGCACAAGATAGGCCACGATGTAGGAGGTAGACTTTCTTACTCTCTCAACATAACCAAAGTGTGTAGGTGTATTACACGCACTAGAATTAGCCTTATGAGAACCACCACAGTTGGGACACTGCAAGACTAGTGCATGTAATACAGGTGTATTACATGCACTAGAATTAGCCTCATGAGAACCATCACAGTTGGGACACTGCAAGACTCCAGTATAGGAGTGAGCAGTGTCAAATTCAACTCATCAAGCAACACACATTATGGATCACCTTAAACTGACTTCTGATAACCAAACTTTTGGCACCTGAAGCACTGTACAGAGGAGGAGACATACAGCTTAACATCTACATCCCTCCTCCCAAGATTCAGGTCAAATATAAGGACCAGTGAATTAGTGTTCACTGGAACACTGCCCACTTTCCCCTTTATCTTCCAAACTATAACCATTCCAGGACTGAGAAACTGTAAATCTTCTTCACTCTCATGCACAATCATACAATAGGTAATAATGTTATGACTGGATCAAATAACCAGAAATAAGCACATCCACCACTGGATCACCACAACACGAGAGATCATGAGCCTGCCAAGGTCAAAATATCGGATCACCAAACTGTCTTTTGAGCTCTAATGGCCACAAGATCACCCACATTTTGTCTCTAACTGCTGCTTCAAACTTATCAGCTTATAGCCCAGCCAGAGCTGGACTGTGACATACATAGACACGTGGGCCTCCTGAAATTTCCTCAATGACCCAGGAGTAGTATATAAAAGTGTCTTTCATGACATCAACATACAGGCCCTGATCCTCCACCACTAAGCCATTGAATCTGGTAAGACAACTCAGTTGTTGTCAGCACATATAATAAAACCAAAACCATTTATCTTGTAACTACCCAAGATTGCAATAGCATCAACATTCTTTTACACATTACAAAGTCAGAACCCAGCAGTGGGATGTTTAATAAGTCAGCTTCAAAAACAGAAGTGGCATCTGGGCCAGAGTCAGCCACAGCAGCTAGGTGTCTGGCTGAGTCTGGCTCTGGCTCACTGCCATAAACCATGTCCACACAAGGGAAGTCAAGAGTAGTAACTGTAGGAGGACCAGGGGAGGAAGGTAGTGTTGTCATTGATTTTTTTTTTTTTTAACAAGTCGGCCGTCTCCCACCGAGGCAGGGAGACCCAAAAAGAAAGAAAATCCCCAAAAGGAAAATACTTCCATCATTCAACACTTTCACCTCATTCACACATAATCACTGTTTTTGCAGAGGTGCTCAGAACACAACAGTTTAGAAGCATATACATATAAGATACACAACATATCCCCCCAAACTGCTAATATCCCAAACCCCTCCTTTAGAGTGCAAGCATTGTACTTCCCATTTCCAGGACTCAAGTCCGGCTATATAAAAATAACTGGTTTCCCTGAATCCCTTCACTAAATATTACCCTGCTCACACTCCAACAGATCGTCAGGTCCCAAATACCATTCGTCTCCATTCACTCCTATCGAACACGCTCGCGCACGCCTGCTAGAAGTCCAAGCCCCTCGCCCACAAAACCTCCCTTACCCCTTCCTTCCAACCTTTTCAAGGACGACCCCTACCCCTCCTTCCTTCCCCTACAGATTTATACGCTCTCCATGTCATTCTACTTTGATCCATTCTCTCTAAGTGACCAAACCACCTCAACAACCCCTCTTCAGCCCTCTGACTAATACTTTTATTAACTCCACACCTTCTCCTAATTTCCACACTCCGAATTTTCTGCATTGATATGGGTATTTTTTCTGTCATGATAGAGGAGAGAAAATAGCAAAGCAAAAGTGCAAAAAGGTAGAAAGGCGAGACCACCGCTGCCCCACCATTAGTACTTACACAAACACAAGCAGTGCCACCACCCTGTATACCCAGGGCACAACAATACAATAGCTCACCTAGAACTAGTAGATAAAGGCTTAGCAAAATTTTCTTTTTAGACTAGGAGCCATTGAGACACTAGCACCATTCAAATAATAATAGCAAATTCAGGGCAAAGTGGCAAGAACACAGAGTTGTACACCATCAGTGACCAAGCCTGTAACTGAAGGTGACCTCAGGTACTGCCTCTACCACACCATCAGTGACCAAGCCTGCAACTAAAGGTGACCTCAGGTAATGCCTCTACCACCAGACAACCAGAGGATGAACCTCATAATGGCCCAGCAGATGGACCACCTGACTAGCCAGTCTCTGGTGAGTGGTGCAGACCATCACAACACTGTAGTCGGTAAGCGCACAATGAGAGCAGCATAATTCCCCCGTGGTAAAAATTAAATGAATGGAGAAAAATCCTCACTATCTAAACCAAAGAAGGGAGGGGGGAGGGTTATTTTTTAGACAGGCTAAGCCACTCAAACCTTCCACCATGATAGAGTTATCCACCATCGATGGGAGGTTACCACAGCTGTAGCCAGCAGTACCAGCTACAACATGACCACCATGACCCACTGATGAACTTATCATGTATGTGTAGGTTACCACAGCAGTAGCCAGCAATATTAGCTACAACATGACCAACACGACCCACTGATGAACTTACCATGTATGTGTAGGTTACCAAAGCAGTAGCCAGCAGTACCAGCTACAACATGACCACCACGACCCACTGCCTGCACATCACGGATACGTCCTCCAGTTCCAGTCGTCGCACCACTGACAACATTATCTTATTATTAAGGGAAGAGCAGGGCAGGGCAGGGCAGGGCAGAGCAGAACAGGGAAGGGCAGGACAAGGCAGAGTAAAGCAGGGCAGGGCAGAGCAGGGGAGGGCAGGGCAGGGCAGTACAGAGGAGGGCAGGGCAGGGCAGGGCAGTACAGAGCAGAGCAGAGCAGAGCAGGGCAGGGCAGGGCAGGGCAGAGTAGAGCAGAGCAGGACAGGGCAGGACAGGACAGGACACGGCATACAAATTGCACAGCAGCAGGATCATTAGTAAAGAAGGGAACAAGGCAAAGTACCTGGATCACCTTCTTTAATATTAATGGTAAACAATGCTTGAATTAGACAGGTGGACATCACCTGAATTAGGTGGACATCACCTGAATTAGGTGGACAACACCTGAATTAGATAGGAGGACATCACCTGAATTAGACAGGAGGATATCACCTGAATTAGACAGGAGGACATCACCTGAATTAGACAGGTGGACAACACCTGAATTAGACAGGAGGACATCACCTGAATTAGACAGGAGGACATCACCTGAATTAGACAGGTGGACAACACCTGAATTAGACAGGTGGACAACACCTGAATTAGACAGGTGGACAACACCCGGAATTCTTAATCTTAAATAAATTCCACTAACAAGTAGCTTTATCAGTTGGGTTAAGCGGAGACAGTAACAGAGGTAATCAGTCCCTCAGCAATGAATGTATTCACTATCTTAGTCATGGTCTTTGTATGCTAGAAAGATGAGATGCTGCAGTTGAAGGTATCATTAGTGATGGGCAGGACGTACTACTGTAGTTGAAGCTCAGTCATACCCAGGAGTTAAATACAACTTAACAGCTACAAGATATTCTCTGTACCAAGACTTTATGATGATGCTAGTTATTTGTGCGCCACACCCCAGTGTGGCACACCTCAGTGCGGCACACCCAGTGTTGCACACCCTGGTGCGGCACACCCCAGTGCAGCACACCCTGGTGCAACACACCCTGGTGTGGCACGCCTTGGTGTGGCACACCTTGATGTGACACACCCCGGTGTGGCACACCCAGGTGTAGCACCTGTGTGGCACACACTGGTGTGGCACCGACTGTTGTGGCACACCCTGGTGTGGCACACATTGTGGCACACCCTGGTGTGGCACACTGGTGTGGCACACTGGTGTGGCACACACTGGTGTGGCACACTCTGGTGTGGCACACACACTGATATGGCACACTCTGGTGTGGCACACACTGGTGTGCCACACATCACTAGCCTTACACAAACCACCATACAAACATACATACCATATACACACTCATATACATTCATATTACAGTAACTTGTGCCACTGTTAAATTAGACACATGTGCAACTCTTGGGTATCTTTATTGAGGAAACGTTTCGCCACACTGTGGCTTCATCAGTCCATACAAAGGATAAACTTGAACAGGAGGAGAATGAGGTAATCAGTCCCTCAGCCTTGAGTCGATGTGGTCAGTCCATCAATCTTGAATAGAATATGGCATATGAGCAGAGAAGCAGCTTATAAACCGTATGGCAGGAGAGGTGCAGCAGTCGTAGGTGGTGTCACATTTGTCCAATGTGGAAGTAGGTCATGCCCAAGGGTTAGGCAAGCGAAGAATTCCCAAGTATTAAGATCCCAAGAAGTTGCAGTGTCTGACAGGATTGTAGACGAATGGTTCAAAGACCCGACACATTGTTAAATTAGACACATGTGCAACTCTTGGGTATCTTTATTAAGGAAACGTTTCGCCACACAGTGGCTTCATCAGTCCATACAAAGGATAAACTTGAAGAACAGGAGGAGAATGAGGTAATCAGTCCCTCAGCCTTGAGTCGATGTGGTCAGTCCATCAATCTTGAATAGAATACGACTGCTGCACCTCTCCTGCCATACGGTTTATAAGCTGCTTCTCCGCTCATATGCCGTATTCTATTCAAGATTGATGGACTGACCACATCGACTCAAGGCTGAGGGACTGATTACCTCATTCTCCTCCTGTTCTTCAAGTTTATCCTTTGTATGGACTGATGAAGCCACTGTGTGGCGAAACGTTTCCTCAGTAAAGATACCCAAGAGTTGCACATGTGTCTAATTTAACAATGTGTCGGTTCTTTGAACCATTCGTCTACAAACTTGTGCCATACAGGTACCATTTTAACTACCTATAATTGCTGTAACTTGTACCATAGAGATACCATCACTGTCACCACCACCATCCAACACTTACATTAGCTAGCTCTCCTCTCACTCAACACACAAATAACCTGCACATAGGAAAATAAAGCTTATGGCAACATTTTGTCCATACTTGGAACCTTAACTAGTCACACACATGAGCGAAGGGAAGGGAGCCAGTATATATACGAGAGAGGAAGGGGGTTGGAGACAGGATTGTAGAATAAGAGGAGGTAGTAGTGTAATAGAAGTAGTGGTAGAGGTAGTGGTAGGAGAGAAGTCAGTGGCAGAGGTGGTAATAAGTAAGTAGTGGTAGTGACACAGCAGTCAGAGTGTTAGCAAAGCAGCAGCAGTAGTAGTATAAGCATAGTAGTAGTAGTCAAAGAACAAAAGAATATAGAAGGGAGGACTGCAGGAGAGCTAATGACGAATGAGGGTAGAACATAAACCCAGGGTTAGAGGGGTATCTCACAGGAGAGAACCCACAGAAGCAGAAGAAAGGAAAGCCATGAAAATATACTAAAGGAGAAGACATAAGGAGTGGAGATAAAGATGAGGTCAAGTCACGAGTCTTCTGAAGTTTGAAGCATTTGACTAAGTAATGAGCAAGGAAGGCATCTACAGAGACAAAGACAGTACTAAAATTCATATTAGAAAAGTTGTGTACAAAGGCTGTTTCAACAAGACAGCAACTCTGGAGGCTAGAAGAAGGGTAGACTGTTGTGACAGTGAACCAGTTAAGAGGAAGTTTACTCAAGTTAGTTATAATAACTCACCTGAAGGGAGCTACACCAGTGGGAAAGTTGTGAGTCTCAGCAGTGAAGACAAGGTGCCTGAGGCGGGACTCCACCAGCACCTGTGAGCTCTGGCATGGGTCACTGCTCACTACTACAGGAGTCTTCCAGCCTTGTATACAACTGGGGGAGAGGTAGAGAAAAAATATGAAAAAATTTTGGAATGAGTTAAACAAGTTACCTTTGATATACCTTTGAAGAATTTCGAGAGTATATCTACTCTCTGAGCCTGGCCATGGGCCAGGCTCGTCTGGTGCTCGCATGGTCAACCAGGCTGTTGCTGCTGGAGGCCTGCTGCCCCACATATCCATCACAGCCTGGTTGATCTGGCACCTGGTGAAGATACTTGTCTAGTTTCTTCTTGAAGGCTTCAACACTTGTTTCAGTAGTGTTTTTGATATCTTCTGGTAAGATGTTGAAAAGTCTGGGACTCCGGAATGAATGGATTTGTCAGTAAAAAACAGAGTAGGGGAGTTAGTATATGGGGAGATGGAGGTACTGGGTAGAGGGCGGGAATATTTTGAGGAACTTTTAAATGTCGATGAAGAAAGGGAGGCGGTAATTTCATGCACTGGCCAGGGAGGTATACCATCTTTTAGGAGTGAAGAAGAGCAGGATGTGAGTGTGGGGAAGGTGTGTGAGGCATTACGTAGAATGAAAGGGGGTAAAGCAGCTGGAACTGACGGGATCATAACAGAAATGTTAAAAGCAGGGGAGGATATAGTGTTAGAGTAGTTGGTAAATTTTTTTTAATAAATGTATGAAAGAGGGGAAGGTACCTAGGGATTGGCAGAGAGAATGTATAGTTCCTTAACCCTTTGAGGGTCGACAGGCCCTCTCCGAAACTCGTTCTCAGGGTCGGCCAAATTTAAAAAAAAAAAAAATTATTTTCTCTTATGAAAAGATAGAGAATCTTTTCCCGATCATAACGACACCAAAAGTTTGAAATTTGATAGAAAACTTACGGAATTATGCTCTCGCAAAGTTAGTGGTCTTGGCGATGTTTACGGATCGGCGATTTTGCCCACTTTGAGCCCCATTTTCGGCCAATTTCACTGTACTAGTCGACAAAAAACATGAATATTTCGCTAGAACTCCATTTTTTCTATCGAATGGGTGCAAGAAACCACCCATTTATAAATTCAACTATCCAGTACAGTGGTCAGAATTTAGCAATTTTGCCAATTTCACACAAATTTCAAAAGATGCCAATTTCGGAATAGGGTCCAGAATAAACAAGAAAGACATTCCTGGCACTAAAATGACATTTCCTCTAGTCATTAGTCACGTCTCAAGGCCCCTCTTATATTCTTTTGCTTTCCACTTTGAATTTTTATTCTCACAAAAAATATAAGATTTACTGTTATGCAGACTACTGCATTAGTGTAAAAAATGGTATAAATATTATTGGTGCACTTGTGAAAGAATATTAGACTCACCAGTTGACGTGTATTGCACGCTTGGCACGATTTGTTTACTTTTGAAGTTTGGTAAAAATCGAACATTTCTGCTACTTTGAGCTCAATTTCAAGGCACCTTTCATTGTAAAAACCAGTTAAAATCATCTCAATTTCAGTAATATGTCTTCCATTCTATAAAATGAGACCAAGAAAACTAGAATACAACAATAAATACTATACGAAAATACACTGCAAAGTCGCTGATTTATTAAAAAAAATGGAAAAAGTTTTTTTTTTCTCATTATGCACCGTGTGCTGCAGGATTTTTTTTAGACTGTGCACACTGACCACATAGACCCATTCTTTCATATGAAGGCCTACCAGCTTTCTCCCACTAGATTTGAGGTCGCTAGAATTTATGAGTACTAGTACGTCAAAAACCCCTACGCGTAAGACGTACTAGTACGACGAAAACCCTCAAAGGGTTAAATAAAGGAAAGGGGGACAAAAGAGATTGTAAAAATTATAGAGGAATTAGTTTACTGAGTATACCAGGAAAAGTTAGCAAGGGGCTAGGAGAAACTATCATTTTTCCTTTTGGGCCACCCCGCCTTGGTGGGATACAGACAGTTTGTTGAAAGAAGAAAGAACCAGGAAAAGTACACGGTAGGGTTATTATTGAAAGAATTAGAGGTAAGACAGAATGTACGATTGGGGATGAGCAAGGAGGTTTTAGAGTGGGTAGGGGATGTGTAAATCAAGTGTTCACATTGGAGCATGTATGTGAGCAGCATTTAGATAAAGGTAGGGAAGTTTTCATTACATATATGGATTTAGAAAAGGCATATGATAGAGTGGATAGGGGAGCAATGTGGTAGATGTTGCAAGTGTATGGAATAGGCGGTAAGTTATTAAATGCTGTAAACAGTTTTTATGAGGATAGTGAGGCTCAGGTCAGGGTGTGTAGAAGAGAAGGAGAATACTTCCCGGTAAAAGTAGGTCTTAGACAGGGATGTGTAATGTCACCATGGTTGTTTAATATATTTATAGATGGGGTTGTAAAAGAAGTAAATGTTAGGGTGTTGGGGAGAGGGGTGGGATTAAATTATGGGGAATCAAATACAAAATGGGAATTAACACAGTTACTTTTTGCTGATGATACTGTGCTTATGGGAGATTCTAAAGAAAAGTTGCAAAGGTTAGTGGACGAGTTTGGGAGTGTGTGTAAAGGTAGAAAGTTGAAAGTGAACATAGAAAAGAGTAAGGTGATGAAGGTATCAAATGATTTAGATAACGAAAAATTGCATATCAAATTGGAGAGGAGGAGTATGGAACAAGTGAATGTTTTCAGATATTTGGGAGTTGACGTTTCAGCGAATGGATTTATGAAGGATGAGGTTAATCATAGAAATGATGAAGGAAAAAAGGTGAGGTGCATTGAGGTATATATGGAGACAAAAAACATTATCTATGGAGGCAAAGAAGGGAATGTATGAAAGTATAGTAGTACCAACAATCTTATATGGGTGAGAAGCTTGGGCTGTAAATGCTGCAGTGAGGAGATGGTTGGAGGCAGTGGAGATGTCCTGTCTAAGGGTAATGTGTGGTGTAAATATTATGCAGAAAATTCGGAGTGTAGAAATTAGGAGAAGGTGTGGAGTTAATAAAAGTACAGTGGACCCCCGCATAACGATTACCTCCGAATGCGACCAATTATGTAAGTGTATTTATGTAAGTGCATTTGTACGTGCATGTTTCGGGGTCTGAAATGGACTAATCTACTTCACAATATTCCTTATGGGAATAAATTCGGTCAGTACTGGCACCTGAACATACTTATGGAGTGAAAAAATATCGTTAACCGGGGGTCCACTGTATTAGTCAGAGGGCTGAAGAGGGGTTGTTGAGGTTGTTTGGTCACTTAGAGAGAATGGATCAAAGTAGAATGACATGAAGAGTGTATAAATCTGTAGGGGAAGGAATGCGGGGTAGAGGTCGTCCTCGAAAAGGTTGGAAGGAAGGGGTAAAGGAGGTTTTGTGGGCGAGGGGCTTGGACTTCCAGCAAGCGTGCATGAGCGTGTTCGATAGGAGTGAATGGAGACGAATGGTATTTGGGACCTGACGAGCTGTTGGAGTGTGAGCAGGGTAATATTTAGTGAAGGGATTCAGGGAAACCGGTTATTTTTATATAGCCGGGCTTGAGTCCTGGAAATGGAAAGTACAATGCCTGCACTCTAAAGGAGGGGTTTGGGATATTGGCAGTTTGGAGGGATGTGTTGTGTATCTTTATATGTATATACTTCTAAACTGTTGTGTTCTGGGCACCTCTGCAAAAACAGTGATTATGTGTGAATGAGGTGAAAGTGTTGAATGATGATGAAAGTATTTTCTTTTGGGGGATTTTCTTTCTTTTTGAGTCACCCTGCCTCGGTGGGAGATGGCCGACTTGTTAAAAAAAAAAATTCCACCAATTGCTCTTCTTCCCTCCCGCACCACAAACTTCTGCTGAACACTATATTCTTAAACTTACCCCATACATCTTCTACCCCATTGCCTATAGCAATGGGGTAGCACACCAGTATAGCACAAATATAGCACACCAGTAATTGATAGAGAACTTTAGAGTTATAAATCAATTTCCTCAACTATAATCTACAGCTATTTTCTATGATGAGTGGTATTCTTGTATCTATCTCACAGCAAGACTGGGAGAAATACAAACACACTTGTATCTCAGACATTGAACACTGAGGGAGATCAAGACTTGAATCATAGCAGTTATATAACTATGGCAGGTGAGCCAACACCTTCACAATATTCCTCACAACTAATTAATACTCACCTAGAATTGTCAGAAAAAGCAATAATACTGTTGGGGTTTGTAGTTAGTGGAGAGTTGGTGCCCATCACCATGTCCAGGAGTGAGTGCATTAACCTTTCTCCCTCCAAGACATATTCTCCCTGGAACACAAGAATGGGTTAACCTCCCTGGAACATAAGAGTGGGTTAACCTCTCTTCCCTCCAAGATGAAATCTCCCTGGAACACAAGAATGGGTTAACCTCTCTTCCCTCCAAGACATATTCTCCCTGGAACACAAGAATGGGTTAACCTCTCTTTCCTCCAAGATGTACTCTCCCTGGAACACAAGAATGGGTTAACCTCTCTTCCCTCCAAGACATATTCTCCCTGGAACACAAGAATGGGTTAACCTCTCTTCCCTCCAAGATGTAATCTCCCTGGAACACAAGAGTGGGTTAACCTCTCTTCCCTCCAAGATGTACTCTCCCTGGAACACAAGAGTGGGTTAACCTCTCTTCCCTCCAAGATGTACTCTCCCTGGAACACAGGAGAGGGTTAACCTCTCTTCCCTCCAAGATGTACTCTCCCTGGAACACAGGAGGGGGTTTTAACCCCCTCCTTCCCTCCAAGATGTACTCTCCCTGGAACACAGGAGCGGGTTAACCTCTCTCCCTCCAAGATTACCTCCCTGAAAAACGGGAGTGGTTAACCTCTCTTCCCTCCAAGATGTACTCTCCCTGAACACAGAGTGGGTTAACCTCTTTTCCCTCCAAGATGTACTCTCCCTGGAACACAGGAGGGTTAACCTCTCTCCCTCCAAGATGTACTCCCCTGGAACACGGGAGGGGGTTAACCTCTCTTCCCTCCAAGATGTAACTCTCCCTGAACACAGGAGAGGTTAACCTCTCTTCCCTCCAAGATGTACTCTCCCTGGAACACAGGAGGGTTAACCTCTTTTCCCTCCAAGAGTACTCTCCCGAACACAGGAGGGGGTTAACCTCTCTTCCCTCCAAGATTACTCTCCCTGGAACACAGGAAGGTTAACCTCTCTTCCCCTCCAAATGTACTCTCCCTGGAACACAGGAGGGGGTTTAAACCCTCTCTTCCCTCCAAGATGTACTCTCCCGGGAACACAGAGGGGGTTAAAACCTCTCTTCCCTCCAAGATTACTCCTCCCGGGAAACACAGGAGAGGGTTAACCTCTCTTCCCTCCAAGATGTACTCTCCCGGGAACACAGAAGGGGGTTTTAACCCCCTTTCCCTCCAAGATGTACTCTCCCTGGAACACAGGAGAGGTTAACCTCTCTCCCTCCAAGATGTACCTCCCGGGAACACGGAGAGGGTTAACCTCTCTTCCCCCCAAAGATGTACTCTCCCTGGAACACAGGAGAGGGTTAACCTCTCTTCCCTCCAAGAGTACCTCCCTGGAACACAGGGGGGGGTTTAAACCCTCTCTTCCCTCCAAGATGTACTCTCCCTGGAACACGGGAGAGGTTAACCCCCCTTCCCTCCAAGATTACTCTCCCTGGAACACAGGTGGGTTAACCTCTCTTCCCTCCAAATGTACTCTCCCGGGAACACGGGAGAGGGTTAACCTCTCTTCCCTCCAAATGTACTCTCCCGGGAACACAGAGAGGTTAACCTCTCTTCCCTCCAAGATGTACTCTCCCTGGAACACAGGAGTGGGTTAACCTCTCTTCCCTCCAAGATGTACTCTCCCTGGAACACAGGAGTGGGTTAACCTCTCTTCCCTCCAAGATGTACTCTCCCTGGAACACAAGAGTGGGTTAACCTCTCTTCCCTCCAAGATGTACTCTCCCTGGAACACAGGAGGGTTTTAACCTCTTTTCCCTCCAAGATGTACCTCCCTGGAACACAGGAGCGGTTAACCTCTCTTCCCTCCAAATGTACTCTCCCTGAACACGGGAGAGGTTAACCTCTCTTCCCTCCAAGATGTACTCTCCCTGGAACACGGGACGGGTTAACCTCTCTTCCCTCCAAAAATGTACTCTCCCGGGAACACAGGGGGGGGGTTTTAACCTCTCTTCCCTCCAAGATTACTCTCCCTGGAACACAGGAGTGGGTTAACCTCTCTTCCCTCCAAGATGTACTCTCCCTGGAACACAGGAGAGGGTTAACCTCTCTCCCTCCAAGATGTACTCTCCCTGGAACACAGGAGTGGGTTAACCTCTCTCCCTCCAAGATGTACTCTCCCTGGAACACAGGAGAGGGTTAACCTCTCTTCCCCCAAAGGGATGTACTCTCCCTGGAACACAGGAGAGGTTAACCTCTCCCCCTCCAAGATGTACTCTCCCGGAACACAGGAGAGGGTTTTAACCTCTCTTCCCTCCAAGATGTACTCTCCCTGGAACACAGGAGAGGGTTAACCTCTCTTCCCTCCAAGATGTACTCTCCCTGGAACACAGGAGAGGGTTAACCTCTCTTCCCTCCAAGATGTACTCTCCCTGGAACACAGGAGAGGGTTAACCTCTCTCCCTCCAAGATGTACTCTCCCGGAACACAGGAAGGGTTAACCTCTCTTCCCCCAAGATGTACTCTCCCGAACCCCAGGAGAGGGTTAACCTCTCTCCCTCCAAGATGTACTCTCCCTGGAACACAGGAGAGGGTTAACCTCTCTTCCCTCCAAGATGTACTCTCCCTGGAACACAGGAGAGGGTTAACCTCTCTTCCCTCCAAGATGTACCTCTCCCGGGAAAACACAGAGAGGGTTAACCTCTCTTCCCTCCAAGATGTACTCTCCCTGGAACCAGGAGGGGGTTAACCCCTCTCTCCCTCCAAGAGTACCTCCCTGGAACACAGGAGAGGGTTAACCTCTCTTCCCTCCAAGATGTACTCTCCCTGGAACACAGGAGAGGGTTAACCTCTCTTCCCTCCAAGATGTACTCTCCCTGGAACACAGGAGAGGGTTAACCTCTCTTCCCTCCAAGATGTACTCTCCCTGGAACACAGGAGAGGGTTAACCTCTCTTCCCTCCAAGATGTACTCTCCCTGGAACACAGGAGTGGGTTAACCTCTCTTCCCTCCAAGATGTACTCTCCCTGGAACACAGGAGAGGGTTAACCTCTCTTCCCTCCAAGATGTACTCTCCCTGGAACACAGGAGCGGGTTAACCTCTCTTCCTCCAAGATGTACTCTCCCTGGAACACAGGAGCGGGTTAACCTTAACTTTAAAGTCTTTTAAAAAATATTTCCAAAATATTATGACTGCATGACATAAGCCAGCGAACACTTCTTGTAACATGTTATATCTTGCTAGCAGGTAAGATAACCTGGTTAACCTACACTAAACCATCAACCATGGGTTCAACACATACGCTGCACACATCAACCATGGGTTCAACATACACTGCACACATCAACCATGGGTTCAACATACACTGCACACATCAACCATGGGTTCAACATACACTGCACACATCAACCATGGGTTCAACATACACTGCACAAAACAACCAGGGGTTTCAACATACACTGCACAAAAATAAAAAACCCATTGGGTTCAACATATACTGCACACATCAACCATGGGTTCAACATACACTGCACACATCAACCATGGGTTCAACATATACTGCACACATCAACCATGGGTTCAACTTTACCCCCTTGGGCAACACCAACTCAACCATGGGTTCAACATATACTGCACACATCAACCATGGGTTCAACATATACTGCACACATCAACCATGGGTTCAACATATACTGCACACATCAACCATGGGTCCCAACATATACTGCCCCACATCAACCAGGGGTTTCAACATACTGCACACTCATCAACCAGGGTTTAAACCCTACACGCACACATCAACCAGGGGTTCAACACATACACTCACACACCCTCAACCAGGTTCAACAACATTTGCACACATCATCAACCATGGTTCAACACACACTGCACACATCAACCAGGGGTTCACACATAACTGCACACATCACCATGGGTTCAACAAAAAAACCGCACACATCAACCATGGGTTCAACACAAAACTGTCAAAAGCAATCAACCATGGTTCAACACACACGCACACATCAACCATGGTTCAACACACACTGCACACATCAACCATGGGTTTCAACATACATTGCACACATCAACCAGGGTTCAACACCACTGCACACATCAACCAGGGTTTTCAACATACACTGCACACATCAACCATGGTTCAACACACACGGGCACACATCAACCATGGGTTCACCAACACTGCACACTTTACAACCAGGGGTCCAAAACACATTGCACACATCAACCATGGGTTCAACATAACGCACACAATCAACCATGGGTTCAAACAACCCCTGCACACATCAACCATGGTTAAACATACACTGCACACATTATCAACCAGGGGTTTCCAACACACATCCCACATCAACCATGGGTTTTCAACATACACTGCACACATCACACCATGGGTTCAACAACCTGCACACATCAACCCATGGTTTCAACATACATAGCACACTCATCAACCATGGGTTCAAACATACACTACACATCATCAACCAGGGTTCCCAACACTACACGCACAATATCAACCATGGGTTTTCAACATACACTGCACACATCTCAACCATGGTTCAACAACAACTGCACACATCACAACCTTGGTTTAAACATACACGCACACATCAACAACCTGGGTTCCAACACATACTGCACACATCACCTTTGGTTTCCCAAATACACTGCACACATCTCAACCATGGGTTTCAAAAATACACTGCAAAATCACAACCATGGGTTCAACACATACTGCACACATCAACCATGGGTTCAACACACACTGCACACATCATCAACCATGGGTTCAACATACACTGCACACATCAACCATGGGTTCAACTATCGTAGGGGTTCTTAAATGGAGATATCGAGGGTTGAAGGTAGACACACTTGTTGGATGGTAACGATATATGTCAGACTGTGATGATGGGAAATGGAGCCCAGCCTTGCCGTGTTCTAGCCTGGATGATCTACCGCCGACTGAGAGGGAGGCAGAGGTACGAACGTACACATGCGCATCCCGTGACGTCACACAAAGTCACAGGCCTAAAAGGGATCTCCTATCTAAAGCACATGGATGATACTATATACTATGTTATATAACACAGGGATCAGCAACTATGCTG